GAACTAGCATTTCTTCTAGTTTGCAGCTGAAGCAGGCAGCACAGCATGCAGTACCACCCACAGGTTACCCTGGAGCTGGGCATCCGTTCTCAGGGTATGCAAATGCCTGTGTCTTTGTCTGTCTGGAGCCAAGCATGTCAAACTCGCAGTCTAGACCATCTTTTCATCACAGACACAGTTGAACAGCAAACTGGTCTTTTCTCTGCTTGTATTCTTTTTTGTTGTGATTTGTCCTTAAGCTTTTCCCTATTAGAATATTTTACTTATGACAATATTCAGAATTCACTGGCAAGTAAGTTAGATGGAAGTTGTCCTTGAAAGCAAGTAGTTCTTTATTCGTTTTTACATATTTTTCCTGTCTTTCATGGTTCTTTTATTCTTACAAGGAATTAGAAAGAAGATTAAATATACTTATTTAATAAGCAACATCTTGTAACTATGTTCATATCTTTTTATCCTACAATTTCCTTTTCGTAATTCATTATAGGGAATTAATTCAAAAATATTTTTTCAAAGCTCAATTATGTCCTTTGTGGTATTATTTATAAAAACTGAAATCTCAATCTAATTTTGTTTTAGATGGGCAGTGTCACATGAGTTTGATTTATGGGGATGGAGGTGGAGTTGTCTCATTCCTGTTGTTGTTGTTGCCTCACCTAAGGATATTTTTTTTCCATTACTTTTCAGAGAGAGTGGAAAGGAGGGAGGGAGGGGAAGAGAGACAGAGGAGAGAGAGAGGAACATTGATGTGTGAGACACACAAACATAGACCAGTTGCCCCAGGTATGTGCCCTTGACTGAGAATGGAACTTGAGACCTTTTGGTGTGCAGGCCACTAAGCCACACTGGCTAGGGTTCATTCATGTTTTTCATCACAGGAAAGGAAGCTTGTATGGGGAAGAAATGGAATTTAAGAGGCAAAACCAGCTGCTCCTTGCCAATATTGTTAGCTGGTCTTCTCTCGGTTTTTGGAGGCACTGATATCAAAGGGAGTTGTGTTGAAAATGAGTGTCATCTCTCATCAGACTGATATCTGGGGCTAGTACTGGTCTCTTAGTAAAAGGAGGATAGATCAAACTGGAGGAAGACCTGCCAGATGACAGCAGCCCCTTTTCTCATTCAAGGAATAGACTAATCCCTTATCAGCATATATATGTACTATTTCTAGTATAAAGTGAATTTTACGGTCTCAGAGCTGTGTAGCTGTGAGCTTGAAGAAAAAGTCCATATTTCTTGTGGTTGTAACACGCTTGAGGCATGTTTGGCTCCTTGGGTACTAATTTTTGTCTTCTAGAGACGTCAGGTAGCAGCCCCTCAGGTCTACCCCACTGAAAAAGGACACATCGAAAAGATGAGAGGAAAATGTGAATGCATTGTTTTTTCCACAGGCTAAAGGGAGAGTGAGCAAGGATGGGTTGTGTTTATGTGTGATCTTCCCTTTCCTAGTACGATGTCAAATAATGGCCAAGAAAACTATCTGAAATATTAAAGAAAGAATATATTTGTCTTTTCTTTAATAACATTGCTTTTTAAAAAATAGCCACTGCACTGTGAACCTGACAAAATGAAATACTGTGAATTTTTCTATTAACTAAATTTTTATTTTGATCATGATGAGATTGGAGGTTAGCTGGAATTTATCCCTTCCGAATTAGAGTGGAAACTTGAGTTGCTTATTCTCCGAGTGGGAGGTGAAGAGTGTCAGTATGGCTGGTGGATATCTGAATCCTTTTTTTTTTTTTTTTTTTTTGTGGATATCTGAATCTTGCTACCAAACACAGGGAGGGCTCCCTGTGCCCTTATATCCTCCTGGGACTTTCTCAGAGGCTCAGTTATCTTTTTTTAAAAAAAATATATATATATATTTTATTGATTTTTTTTTTACAGAGGGGAAGGAAGAGAGAGTTAGAAACATTGATCAGCTGCCTCTTGCAAACCCCGCCCTGGGGATGTGCCCGCAACCAAGGTACATGCCCTTGACCGGAATCGAACCTGGGACCCTTCAGTCCACAGGCTGACGCTCTATCCACTGAGCCAAGTTATCTTTATGAGCAACAGTGTTTTCTGTTTTTGTATCGTTTTTGACATCACAACCCCAAACCTATTGTTAGAATTTTTACCCTCAACCCTAATTGCAAGTCTTTTACGTCATGTGTAATTATAACTTTTCAACCCTCAGTGGTGAAATGAATTTCAAATGTTGCCATATGTTTACTCAAAATCTGTGAGGAAGCCAGGCGTGCTGAAATTACGAAAGCTAGTGTTCCAGGGTTTGCTTTGTATGTACATGATAAGAAAACATGTGGTGTATTTGTGGTATTATTGTGATTACATGGAAATTATTTTGACAGTGTTTGACTTGAACAGGGAGACATACTGGTGGTGCTAGGACTTGTAGGTGTTAATCACTGGGCTGACTTGGCAAGCCCCGGAGGCAGCACGGATTACGGTATCTGGCACCTCACTGGGCAGTGGCTGCTGCATTGGCAGCCTCCACGTCAGCCGGGTCTGCCACCCACCCTGATGGTGGTGGATATCACAGGCGGTTTCCTGCCCTTCTGTGCCATTTTTTCTGCCATCAGCTTTGAAATGAGTGGCTCTGTTCTTTTCCAAATGTGAATTCATTATGTTAATCTCAAAAGAAAGAGGGCTTGCATTCAAATACGTACCGGTATCGGTACTTATATAACTGATAGTGTGTTTTAAAAGTGTATAAAATGTATTTAGAAATCTAAAATCTGTAATAATTGAAATTTATTTGAATTAAATATCGAGGCTTTGAGTCTTATAGAAATGGTAAAAACTATCATATAAAAAAAGGCATGATTTTTTTTTCTGTATTAGTCACTGTCAGGAGAAAATATTTTCCCCCCAAAATGAATGATGGCAGGAACTGAAACTGTAGGAAAAACACAATGGGAAACGATGAGTCTGAAGACATTCCTTTGAGAAATGAGAGTTTAGGTGTACGTGGTAAGAGAAGAAAGTGGGGGGAGTAAATCAATCAATCAATAGAAATAAATTTTTAATAATCCAGAGCAAAGGATCCTTGGGGGATGGGATTCTCAATGAAGCTTAAGCGTCAGGTCCTTTTTGGAGCTGTTGCTGATAAGGGCAGATCATCAGTTTATTTGACAAGTGGAGGGAGAACTTGAAGAATGAAATTGGACAAGATTACAAATGATATTACATAATACATTTCTAAAACTTGCTTCACAAAGCCAGGCTCTTTTATACAACGTGAGATTCATTGGTCCTGAATTCATTTCACCTATTTACGTGCCTGCACAGACTAGGTGTGAAGTAGGGCACCTAGCCATCGTTTTCAAATCCCCTATTGTGGTCTGAAGTAGCACTCTCTGAGGATGAGCCTGCCTCAGAAGACGAGTGCAGGGGCAAGTGTCCTTGGTAAATGCCAGTGAACATTTCACATGTCCATTTTAAAAATGAGCAGTGTGAAAGCTGGTCCTCAGATTAATATCTGAAATCTTGCTATTGAATAAAGCTTTAATTCAGCGGTTCTCAACCTGTGGGTCGCAACCCCTTTGGCGGTTGAATGACCCTTTCACAGGGGTCGCCTAACACCACCCTGCATATCAGACATTTACATTATGATTCATAACAGTAGCAACATTACAGTTATGAAGTAGCAACAAAAATAATTTTATCGTTGGGTCACAACGTGAGGAACTGTATTTAAAGGGCCAGAAGGTTGAGAACCACTGCTTTAATTGTTTAAGGCTGATAGGCTAGTTGAATAAGTAAAAGAAGGAAGTTTATAAATTATTGGAATTAACAGTGCTAAAGTATCATAAGTCTGTATAGTAGTTGTTTCTTCAGAGTTTGTATGCTGTGATTTAATTGTAATTTTAAAAATTATTTTCTCATACATGCTAATCCTATATAATAAAAGCTGTATATGTTGTGTCCGGTGATCTGGACGTCCGTTCAACCAATCAAAGTGTAATATGCTAATGATATGCTAAGGCCACTCAACCACTTGCTATGACGTGCACTGACCACCAGGGGCAGACACTCTGACTGGTAGGTTAGCTTGCTGCTGGGGTCCGGCTGATAGGGACTGAGCGAGATGGGACTGACATGCTCTGGAGCCCTCCTGTGGTCCCTCCCCAGCTGGCCAACCTTCTGTGTTCCTTCCTGGCCCTGATCATGCACTGGTGGGGTCCCTCGGCCTGGCCAGTGCCCTCTTGCAATCCGGGACTCCTTGGGGGATGTTGGAGAGCCCGTTTTGGACCAATCCCACAGGCCAGGTGCACGAATTCGTGCACTCAGCCTCTAGTATTTTGATAAAGGGACCAATTTCCAAAGAAAACATAGCAATACTAAATGTATATACAGTAAAGAACAGAGCTTCAAAATATACAAAGCAAAAACTGGTAGAATTTAAATGAGAAATTGACAAATTTCCAATGACACTTGTGGATGTTAACGCTCCTCTTAGTCACTGACAGAAACTGTCACCCAGCAGGATCTAGTTGGCATTTATAGAACTCTGCACCCAACATCAGCAAAAGGTACAGGATGGGGCAAAAGCAGGTACAGTTATTTGTATGGAAAGTAATACAATAATTAATAAATAACAGTATAAACACAAACTCTGTGTTTCACATACAACTGTAAACCTACCCTTGCCCCATTGCATACATTTGGCACATATACCAAACAAATTAAACCAGATCTGGTTGATAAAATGTAAGGGAATTGAAATCATACCAAGTATGTTCTCTGACTGTAATGGAATCTAACTAAAGATTAATAACAAATAGGTGGAATAACTGGGGAGGAAGGGGGCGAGGAAAGAGGGGAGACCTTCATCTAAACAAAAACCTGGTTTCTCTGCCCTTGATTCTGAATTGTCAATGGCTTGGGAAATCGGAAAATAGGTACATTTCATCTGACAGTGTCCCAAAATGATAATGAAAGATATCAATTGATTGTAACCCATGATCAGTTGTCTCTCTGTCCACTTTATTTTGCAGCCTCTCTGTTGAAAGGACTAAAGCATGCTAACATAGTGTTGCTTCATGACATCATCCACACCAAGGAGACGCTGACGCTTGTGTTTGAATATGTGGTGAGTAAAATAAGAATTCAGATTTTATAGATATGAATAAAAATCTTATAGTGTTATCATAGAGTTTTATGTTTAGGTTGCTGTATTGAAATGAGTATTTTATCTGAGTACACAAGACTTGTAACTTTGCATCATTTTGGATGATATATATCTTTAAAAAATCCTTAAAAATGTTAATTTGAATTTTCATCATATATGTCATCTATTTATAACCCTTGTTACTAGTATACACTGTAACTTTTAGGTTTATTAAATAGGATTAAACAGCATGATGCTGATCATTCCATCAAAGGAAGTTCACAGACCATTAAAAATGTGGAGTTTTTATTTGGCAGGGAGGGCAGGATTTTTAACTTGGTTTTTCAAAAGCATCCTTATTAGGGTTTTTTTTTTTAAATTGTGGAGAAAAGCCTGATACTTACAATTTAGACTTCATAGTTTTCCCCCTCACTTGGTATTTCAGCTATTAATTAAAACTTCCCATTTGCATAATACAATGTAATGATCTTATTGTGTTGAGAGTATAACTGCTAGAAGACTTGGACTTGAACTCATAATTAATCTTTCTCCATTTCTCTTAGAAAAACATATGGTATTTGTGTAACTCCACTTCACATTTAACTGTGGAATCATGAAATGTAACCATGATAATTAGCATCTCAATTTTCACAGATGGATCTGAGAACATGTAATTTATAAGATACAAATGACATTGGTGGAGGCTTTTATTGAGAAGAATAGCTGTTGGTATTGTGAATGTATTAAGATCCGACTTGTAATTACCATACGACTTTAAAAAAAATTGAAATAGTTTTCATTTTTCCTTAAAGATATATAATAGAATGAATATTTGCAACATTTTTATCTTGCTAATGTCTGCCTGTGTCTATTTGTCATTTGAAAATTGTCTTATGAAGAAGCCATTTATCTTGTCTATTTACATATAAATGATAGATACATGTGAATAATATGGTAATGTGGCTACAAGGACAGCTAGAGCTGAGCAGTTGAATATTTTACATGCTACCAAAAATGGATAGAGATTCACACATTAATGCAAGTATAATTTCCTTTGTTTAATCGATGATGTTGGAATCAATAATACATTCAGCTGATGTAGAACTGGAATGTAGAATTTTTGTTTCATATTTTCCAGTATGTCTAGTTGCAACATTTCAATTAAATCTAGATTTTTTTCCTTAGTATATGACTAACTTATGTATTGTTTTGTAGAAAAGATATCTCAAAAGTATACTTGCCCCTTTTCCCAAAACTGGATAATTAAATTAAAAGGAAGAAAAGTAGTTTGACACCTAAAATCATAACAGTGATAAAGAAACTAACAAAAATAGCATGAAAATATGTCCCCCAAATCATAAAGGAAAATTAAATACATCTGTGAAGCTAAAAATGTACATAACAGATCCGATGTAATTTTCTGATTTTCTGTGGAAGTTGTCACATAAAAGCAAAGAAATTCACTGTCTTGCAGTATTTACTAACCGATTAAGACCGACTTTTAAATAATCATTCTTTTTTGTGTGAGTGAAATTATCTATGGTTCCAATTCTTGTGGCTACATTCTACGTCCTCTTAAATCAACCACATAATAGCGTGCACAGATGCAGTACTCCACGGGCAACCTTTCATTCCTAACCTCTCTGTGGGAGTGAAGAACTAGATGAACCTGTTCTCTCTTAGAGAATGAGGCAAGCTTGTGTCATTCATGGTTTATGATCGCCCTGCCCTACCTCTTCCGTTCTCCACTCTATTTCCTCACTTTCCCATTGTTTCTAGGCCTTTCACCTTTCCATATTTCTTTGTCTGTCTTTTTTTATTCATCTGTCCTTTTGCTCTCTCTGGTGAAGCACTTTTTTCTGCTACAACTGAAGTTTATTTGTTTGGTTTTTATTTATTTTTAAATACCATGTTTCAATGAATGTCTGAAATAAGAACCTTGTTACATATATAGCAAACCCTAAAATCAGTATCAAACATTTTAATCTACAATTTCCTGAACTTAATGATGATATTGCCACATTTCAAAATTGTTAACATCAAAGTAATCTTATAAAAAAATGTTGATTTTGTAGTTTCGTTTAATACATAGTACCTTTTCATGAGGGAGGGGAACGAGTAAGTTAAACGGTGTAAAAAAAATCAACACATCATGCCCATTAAAATCCTAGATATGAAGGGAGAGTAAAATAATTTAAGATTCATTAGACATTATTGGATTTTTTTCTTTGGATTAGAATGAATTAAGTGTTCAAGGGTTTTTTGAGGTACCTATATAAGTTGAGTTCCACAAAGTGAAAGATTATTATTTATGATAGTTTATACATTGCATAATAGATTTCTTTTCTTTGCCTAGCTGCTTTCTTTTATTCCTACCAATGACATATTAGGTTACATAAAAGCCTTCTGAGGGCCAGAATAATGAAATAAGTGATGAAAAGTTCGTGATGTTAAGGAATACTTGAGGAAATGACTTTGGAGGTCGTTACTAAGGTGATTTAGTGGATAACAGGCCATTGTTCATATTTCTTAAGTACTGTGAAGAGCTCCTACAACATCTGAAATATACTGTAGGTTCTTGTCCATTTTCAAGGTGTGTAGATAGAGTGACCTGCAAGCTGAAGGTTGGAAACATACTGGGGAATGTGCTACCCAGGCTGCTCATGTCTCACTCTTGCAACACGGGGCCCTGTCATGTGTGCTGTTTGGATACTACCTTCCTCCAGTTGTTCAGTGCGAAGGAGCACCATGATCATCCAGGGCGTGGCTCATTGAGCTTCAAAAGGCATCTGGTTTCATAATGGTCTAAAGTATTGTTATAGCTATCTTTTTTCTGCGTAGGTTTGAGACCTGGAAAAGAAATACAGAAAGTAGTGAAAGTGCTAACACAGCTGTTTTCCCTACTTAAACAGAAAGTTAAGCATTTTAGTTTTTATTTTTTGCTAGAGACAAATAAGTGCCACGTTTACCCTATTTAACACCATGCTGAAAAATTCAAAACAGATTCCATAAGTGTAATTAAGAATATTAATAGTAAATATGGCTATGTAAATATATATTACTGGTAGTGGAAGTGCATAGCTATTCTGTTCTATTTTAAATTAAATGAGAGCAAAGTATGTGTAGCAGCACTTTTCATTACACACTTAATAATTATGTATCAGAAGAAAAGAAGCAAACTTATAGCTAATCATGATATTCATTGGGGCATTCATTTTATTTCTTCCACTGTGCTATAAACTCATGAAAATGTTCCAAACTAATGTGCAACATTATGTCAAACAAAAATCTGTATTCCACATGAAACAAAACTGTCACTAAAAATCACAGTGATTTATGTATTACCAAAAATCATCTAATTTATTTTTATATTGCTTTACATTCTACAAAGCACTTTCTCATAAATGTTATCCCATTAGATTTCCTTTTTAGCCCTTTGAAGTATAGAAGGCATGTGATATTTGTTATCCAGTTTGTTATTGATGAGGAAAAATAATGCTCAGAGAGAATTCAGAACAGATTTACTAAAATCACTCAGATAAGTTAAGGGTAAAGGGAAGACTTTAGGCCAAGTCTTCTGTGCCTTAAAATACTGGCCATTGCATCTCAGCCTCAGCCTACTGGGGTTAACCCGCGGCAGAGTTTGATGTGATGATCTGAGGTATGTGAGATGTTAGGATATGCAACTCTCCCCCTGTCTTGTCACCCTGTCACACAATCTACCTAATTGTTTGGCTTCTCAGCCTCATACATCTTGATTTCTGTATCTATGAAGAATGCTTTCATTTGCATGATTTTATGACACATCTGTTCTGGAAAACTGTAGCTCTCCCTCAGCATTCTGGTTTCCAGATTAATCTATCCTGGCGCAATTGAACATTTTTTCTGCCTTTCTATGAGAAAAAAAAGCACATGTGCACATGTCCGTGCATATACAAATTTAGGTGGGGGTGATCAGGGAAGGCTCGCTGAAAAAGTGAGAGGTATTCAGGTGAAAGTCTGAAGGAGGTGAAGGAGGAAGACATATATTCTGGGCAAGAGGCTGCCATTCAGGGTTGTGTGGGGAGCAACAGGGCCCCTGGGGCTGGAATGGAGCCACCAAGGGTGAGACACAGTCCAAAACGCACTGGGGTCTGGATTGTGTCAGGCTTTATAAGGTTGTGTTTTAATGAATTTTGCTTTAACTCAAAAATGACATGGAAAGCCACCAAAGATGCTGGGCAGAGAAATGATCTGATCCAACTTATATTTTAATTGGATCTCTCCAGCTGCTTTCTTAAGACTAGACTGCAGGTGGGCAAGTTCTGAAACAGGGAGACCAATCAAGTGGCTACTGCTAATACCTCAGCATGAGATGAGGTCAGCAGTGGAGGTGATGAAAAGTGGTTGATTCTGGATATATTTTCAAGGTTTAGCTGGTAGTATTAGGCGCAGGATTTGAGAGATGAAAGTGGAGTCAAGGGTGATGCCCAGG